AAAGTAAAACTTTCATTCAAATTTAATGGAGAAACAAGATACACCCATGACAAAGAACAACTGAAGAAATTCACATCCAATCAAATTAATCCTAGAAAGAGTATTGAAAGACATACTAGATAGAGGTAAAAATGACCACATTCCCCAGAACAACAACAGAAAGAAAACACCAGGTAGGACAAGCAATTAAACAATGGGGAAAACCAGAAAGCAAACAAATGGAACATAAACATGGCAAAGTCAAGCCAGTATATATTAGTGATATCCATAAATGTAAATGGCCTTAATTCACATATCAAAAGAAATAGGTTGACAGAATGGATCAAGAAACAAGCTCCCACAATATGCTGTATACAAGAAACACATCTGACCCAAAAGGAAGCTCATAGATTAAAAGTCAAAGGATGGAAAACAGTACTCCATGCATCAGGAACCCAGAAAAAAACAGGGGTCACTAGCCTGTTTGCAGACAATGAGAATGTCAAACTGGAAATAATTAAAAGAAATAAAGAAGGTCACTACATATTTGTCAGTGGAAAAATTTCAGAGGAAGAACTAACAATTATAAATATATATGCACCAAATACAGGAGCACTCAATTATATAAGACAGATACTAATGGACATGAAAAACCAAATACACAAGAACACAATTATAATAAGGGACCTTAACAGCCCACTGTCACAAAGAGATAGATCAACTGGACAAAAAATCAGCAAAGAAATAATAGAACTGAATCATACCTGTGAGCAAATGAACTTAGTACATGTTTACAGAGTATTCCACCCACAACATCAGAATATACATTCTTCTCAGCTGTACATGGGACATTATCCAAAATAGACCATATAATAACCCATAAAACATTCTTAAGTAAATGCAAAGGTATTGAAATTATCCCATGCATATTATCTGATCATAGTGCACTGATATTGGAAATTAATGGCAAAAACAAATAGCAAAACCTGCATAAATACAGGGAAATTAAGTAACTTTTTGAATAACCAGTGGGCTACACATGAAATTAAAGAAGTAATAAAATAATACCTACAATTCTATGAAAATGCAGAAACAACATACTGCAATCTGTGGGATGCAATGAAAGCTATCTTAAGAGGGAAATATATAGCACTGTCATCTCAAGAAAACAGAACAAGCACAAATAAACAACCTAATGCTTCATCTCAAGCTTCTATAAAAAGAAGAGCACGTTAAACCCAAAACTGATAAGAGACAGGAAATCGTAAAGATCAGAGCAGAAATCAATGTAACTGCAACTAAAAGAATTAATAAATCAAAAGCTGGTTTTTTTGAGAGAATAAACAAAATTGACAAACCTCTAGTTAACCTTATAAAGAAAAAGAAAGAAAAACCCAAAATCACACAATAAGTACTGAAAGGAGGGCAATTATCACAGATCCCATGGAAATTTAAAAGATCATGAATACCTACTTTGAAAATCTCTACTCACACACAGTGGAAAGGAAATGGACAAATTTCTAGAAACATATGAGCTGCCCAAGCTCAACCAAGAAGATACAGCAATTTTGAATAACCCAATATTAGCTATTGAAATTGAAAACAAAATTAAAAACTTACCAACAAGGAAAAGCCCAGGTCCTGATGGATTCACAGCTGAATTCTACAAGAAATTTAGAGAAGATCTGATGCCAATACTCTGTAAACTCTTTAATGAAATTGAAAAGGAAGCAATCCTCCCTAAATCATTCCTAAAGACAAGTATTACTCTCATACCAAAACCAACCAAAAAGGAGAACTATAGGCCAATCTCACTAATGAACGTTGATGCAAAGATTCTCAATAAAATACTGGCAAATAGAATGCAGCAAATCATCAAGAAGATTATACGTTATGATCCAAGTGGGATTCATCCCAGGAATGCAGGGATGGTTTAACATATGCAAATCAATAAATGTAATACACCACATCAACAGAGCCAAAAACAAAAACCACATGGTCATCTCAATAGATGCAGAAAAAGCTTTTGATAAAGTCCAACATATGTTCATGATAAAAACCCTTGAGAAACTCAGAATACATGGTGTCTACCTCAATCTTATAGAGGCCATCTATGACAAACCAACAGCCAACATTATATTAACGGACAAAAACTAAAAGCTTTCACTTTAAAATTAGGAACAAGACAAGGATGTCCACTATCACCACTCCTATTCGATATAGTTCTGGAAACACTAGCCAGAGCAATCAGACAAGAGAGAGAAACAAAGGAATAAAGATAGGAAAGTAAGAATTTAAATTATCACCACTTGCAGATCACATGATACTTTATATAGAAGATCCAAAAAACTCCATTAAAAGACTAGTAGAAGTAATAAATTTCCAATGTAGCTGGATACAAAATCAATGCTTAAAAATCAATAGCATTCCTATACACAAACAAAAAACTCACCGAGAGAGAAATTATGGAAATATCGCCCTTTACAATAGCAGCTGAAAAAATGAAATACTTAGGAAACGACCTAAGCTTGTAAAAGACCTATATGCTGAAAATTATGCTACACTAAAAAAGGTGGTTGAAGAGGGTATTAGAAAATGGAAGGATATTTTTTGCTCTTGGCTAGGAATAATCAATATTGTGAAAATGGCCATACTAAAACTGTTACACAGATTTATGCAATCCCAATCAAAATACCATTAACATACCATATAGATCTAGAGAAAACACTCCTAAAATTCATTTGGAAACAGAAGAAACCTAGAATAGCAAAGGCAATTCTGGGCAACAAAGGCAAGATAGGAGGCATCTCAATACCTCAAGTGAAACTATACTGCAAAGCCACAGTGATAAAATCAGCATGGTAATGGCAAAGAAATAGACCTGAGGATCAATGGAACAAATTAGAAGATGCAAGCACAACTACAAAGACACCCAGCCACCTGATATTTGACAAAGGGGCTAAACATCTTCACTGGAAAAAGGATAGCCTCTTTAATAAATGGTGTTGGAAAAACTGGCTATCCATACACCGAAGACTGAAACTAGATCCATGCCTGTCACCACGAACAAAACTGAAGTCTAAATGGATCAAAGACCTAAATGTTAAAACAGAAACACTAAATCTAGAGGAAGCCAAGGTAGGTAGATGTCTTAGAGACATAGGGGTACGCAGACAATTCATGAACAAAACACAGGCTGAACGGGAAATATTTCAAAGAATCAACAACTGGGATCTCATATTATTGAAAAGTTTCTGCACTTCAAAGGAAATCACCAATAGAGTAAAAAGAAAATCCACAGAATGGGAAAGAATTATAGCCAGCACCCCTCAGACAAAGGACTTATATCCAGAACATATAAAGAATTGAAAAACATCAAACTCCCCAATTCAAAGACTCTCTAAAAATAGGCATCTGAGATGAACACACTCAGATGAAGATATACAAATGGCAAATAAATACATGAAGACATGTTCACCATCACTGGTCATTCAAGAAATACAAATTAAAACAGTACTGAGATTTCATCTCACCCCAGAAAGAAGGGCTGCCATCAAGAAATCAACTGATAACAAATGTTGGTGAGGCTGTGGGGGAAAAGGAACAGTTTTCTACTGTTGGTGGTGGTGTAGGCTGGTGCAGCCACTATGTAAATCAGTATGGAGAATTCTCAGAAGACTAAGAGATGTTCCATTCAACCCAGCTATTGCCCTCCTGCGTATTTTCCCAGAAAAACCAAAAGGTCATACCACAGTGATATATGTGCAACCATGTTCAAAGCAGCACAATTCGTAATAGCTAAACCTTGGAAAGAATCAAGATGCTCATCAACCGCAGAGTGGATGAAAAAGATGTGATATTTTTGTACAATGGAATATTGCTCAGTTATAAAAAAGGATGAATTTGAGTCCTTTATAGGCAAACAGATAACTTGAGGCTATTCTCAGTTGGTGAAATATTCAAGAATCATATTTATAAACATCTCATTGTGTCTCTAGTGTAAAAAGTAATAAGAAATGTAAGAGTAATAAAACCCAAAATGTGTAATTGCTATTGTAAAAAACAGAGGAAAAGAAAGTACTGTAAAGGATAGAACTGCATGTATAAGTGCATAAGATTGATAACCATATTACTAAGTTTATGTTGGATCGTTGAACAGAACTGTTTATAGTCTCGCTGTTTGAATGTCCACCTTGTATGATTCACTTTTGTAACTTGAATAACTATTTGTAAGAGGACAATATGTAATTATCAACTAGTGATTTCTTACTGTTTATTTTTTTGAAATTATATATTATTTGCACCCTTTTTTTTTCTTTAAATAAAAATAAATAATTTTTTAAAAAATATTCAGAAACTATAAAGCAGAATGTGTCATTAAATGTTAGGTTTTAAGCTTTCTGCATTTAAAAATAACCAATAGTATGAGGCAAACATGGACTTCAGATAATCACCATATTATCTGAAATACTTGGTTAGATGTTGATACACTAGAATTTTTTCCTCATTATACATATCTAATGTAAACACTTTGCTTGGATTAAAATCCTCTTTTCAATATAGAACATAAAAAGATAAATAAAAACTATAGTTACTACTGTAGTCCTTGCAATTTAGTAGAATAAAATGGCAAGAATAGAAATAAGTAAATGAAAACAGAAAACAAGACAGTACACACAGTATAGAAATTAGATCTGAAAGTCAGATCAATATAGTTCTGTCCTCTTAATTTCTCTTCAACCCTTGAAAATTTCCTGTATGTGATCACTTCTACCTTAGAAGAGATCTATTATCAACCATCATTATTTAACTTTTGGTTGAGACAGCCACTAAGTATAGCTTACAAAATAAGGAAGTGAGTTGGTAGATAAAATAAAGCACAGAAATTAGGGGAAATAATCTAGAAAGTGTAAAGAGATACTTAGAACCAGAAACCATTTTCTATTTAACATCACCATTCCTACTTCAGGACAAGGCATTGTATCCATAGTGTTTATTTCTTTTGAAAGCATACATCTTACCATGTGGAATTGTGGTCTGGAAAGGGCGAGTTGGGCTTTTCAGGTTCCATAAAGTCAAGCTGCCATCTGAATGACTACACATGAACTGTTTGCCCTCATGATGCCAATCAATTGAATGAATAGCCTAATAAAATAACAATGAAAAGTTAAAGAGGTAAGGAAAATAGATATATCATTCTATGTTCCAAAAGAAAAATATTTTAACATAAAATTATTATATAACTAACATAAACATTTCTTCTGAACTGTCTTTGGCTTCAACCCTCTACAAACTTATACAAGCCTATCAAAATCATCTCGTAAGATAAAAATAAATTTTCTAGTATCACTCATTTACAAGGTGCTCACTGAAATCTATGTCTTTTCTGTATCCTGTGATGCTTATTTAAGAATTTATTTACAAAGAAGTGAAAACACAATTATTGAATATAATTTCTTGTACACTGGAAGCCTATTTCCATTGAAAGGAGCCGAATTTGCAAAATTATTTGAGTAATAGCTACCCTCTATAGGCAATCCATATGTGCCAGACTTTCTATATATTCATTTAACCCTATAAATATATATTTTGCCCCAGTTTATATAAAGTGAAATAGAGGTTGAGTTATTTGCTAAAGTAACAAATCTCAAAGCTTAAGTATTGTATTACCTCTGACTATACTACTTAAACTGATTTAAAGCAAAAATATGAAAATTTGTTGATGTTCAACAGTTTCAAATTAGATAAGACTCTAAAATAATTTTTTATGTGTTCTAGCTAGTATATTCCCAGTGCTAGCATAGCATGTTACATAAAGTATATATTCTAGAAATATCTGTTAAATGAATGTCACACATACACATTTCTAAACCCTTGATATTGTTTCTAAATGAATAAGTTAATAAAACTCGAGTAATGTGCTAAGTAAAATGAGAGAAGTTCTAGTAGACACAAAAGCAGAACATATTTTGAACATCTTTTCCTTAACAGAAATTCAACACTGGAAAGACTGACGTAGATGAATATCTACCATATTTATTATTTGGAACTCTTAACAAATACATATATATACATACGTATGTATATTAGTGTGAGAGAAAAGTGTTAAACAGTGTTAGAAGAGCTACATAGAGTCAGTGGTTAATGTAATCATTAAACATATCATAAAGAATGTAAAATATAATCTGTGTCTCAAAAGATAAATAAGATTTCATTGACTAGAAAAGGTAACATGAACACCACATTTGTGTTTTCTCTTTCCCTGACTTTCAGTACTATGTAGAGAAATTTTTTCACCAATTTCCTGCACAGTAGTTAGAAGGAAAATACTCCTCACAGTCCTATACTCTGTTTATTTATTTCTCCCTTGTGTATGCGGTTCATAGAAAATGTTGCTTTTTCCTTGCCTATTGTTAACTTAGATAACCTCAGTCAGTGTAAAATTCTCTGATGCTCCTTTGCCACCAAAAGTGGAGGTGGAGAAAGCATCCCCAACTCTAAAGATCTATGATATTCTATTGAATTTCTATTCACTAAAGAGGACAGGCATGAAAATTATAAATACAAGAAAATCAAAATAAGTATTACTATAAAGGAAGAAAAACGTGGTATCACATAGTGGGCATGTAGAAGCAGCTTGTTAAGAGATCAGGATGTCAAATAGTACGTATCTTAAGAAACCACCATTTGAACTGCCTTGAATAGATATTTTATTTATTTGTTTATACTCTTTTCTTTAAAGAAAGTCTTAATGGGTTTACTTAAAACCAAAACTTATATATAACTAATTTAAAATTTTAAAATTAACTTAATAGAAAATTTTAAAGTAGGTAACAGTTGGGAAGGATCAAACACTAGTCACACTTAGTCAATTCAGTGGCTGTTCCTTTTTTTTGAAAATGGAAAAGACAAAAACAAACAAACAAAAAAGGCAACCCAGAAATCTAGATAACAATCTGAAAAAGCATTTCCTCAAAGAACTGTAAAGTTTTCCTTATGCCAAACTACAAAAAGATTTCTCTTTGTTTTAAAAATATTCCCATGGTGAAACAAAAATTTCATAGCTAAAATGGAAGTAATTCTTACAGCTAATTATTTCTGAAAATAATATTGAATTTCAAAATTCAAAATCTCAATTCATCAGTGAGTATTCACTAAGGCACTAGCTAGATAGTCCATTACTTCATAGTGTCTGGGGAATTAACAAAATTTTGACTAAAAGAAGAGGCAAGGAAGGAGTTCACGATGAGTTTGAGGAATTAGAAGGAGCAAAGGTTTAGAGGTAAAAAAAAATAAAAGCTATGTTAAGGAAATAGTTGAGTTTACTAAAGGAAAAAGCACCAGAACCTTAAACTTAGTATCAATGAATATAAACTTTGTTGACAACTGGGAATCTTTTAAAGATTTCCAGATAGAGATTACATGGTCTACATTTAAAAATAATACTCTTATTAGTAAAGGATATACTGAAAAGGTAAGATGTCACAGGAAAAAACAATTAGTTAAAAGGTTTCTACCAGTCATCTATCTGTTATATCATTTACTTTTGAGTGCTTCACTGCTCTACTATCTTACAAATAGCATAAAATCTTAATTTGAGATCATCACTAGGAATTGAGTTATGGAGTTTATGAAATCCCTTATATCTTTAAGCACCCAGACTTTCAAAATTTAGCTGATATAAAGGGAAAGGAAAAAATAGAAAAGTATTCTAGGGCAACAACAGGTTCATATGGTGACATTTTTTTCCCAATGATAAAATGAGAAAGTGAAACACAAGAACATGCACATGTGTGTGTAGGGTTTTTTCTTTTTATATTAGTGGTGCCTTAAATTATTTGGCATTCTTCCATTATAATAATGGATGTTACTCACCATTCTATCACTCTCCACTCTCATGATTTTTCAAGTTTCACAGTACAGATTATTTTGTTTCCACTGCTACAAGAAATATTTACCCTTTTTATCTTTTACCTTTGCTTCACTGTCTTTATATCAGCTTCTTCTGTAAAAGGAAATAAATTGCCTGGATGCAGTATCTGAACTGAAAGTGTCAACCAGGAGACTATGCCTTAATAAAAGAGAGTTTGGGGGCTGGGGATTTAGCTCAGCGGCATAAGCACCTGCCTTGCAAGCAGGCAGTCGTGAGTTTGATCCCCGGTACCGATAAAAAGGAAAAAGAGGAAAACAAAAATGAGAGTTTGCTGCTTCTCTTAAGTGAAAGCCTACTCAGGTCTTAGTTATGGACAATAAAACTTCAAAATCTTACTCTTCCTTATTGAGTGTTCCTATTTATAAAATCTCCCTTTTTTCTAAGAAAGTATTAAAAACATGGCATTTCAACCTGACTTAACCTTTTTGTCATAGAAAATAAATTTTCTAAGGACGGTATACATAGTGTTTGTTAAAACCTTATGAACAACAAGCCAAGACATAAGAAAGAAACTTACAGGAAAGAAAAGGAGCTGAAATAAATGAAGGGATACAGCATACTGCCGAAGTGACAGGACTCAAAGTACATAAAATGCAAAAAAAAATTGACAATGAAAGCAGAATTTTAGTCAGAAATAATACAAAGGTGCAGTGTATGTGAATAGCAAAAGAGAGTAAGAGTCACTAGGTCAAAACCAGGTCCTAGCTTCCCAATGATAAATGTACTGGTAAAGTATAAGCTTTACAGCAACAACAACAAAAAAATGACACAAAGTGACAAAAATCTTTTCAAGTATTTTAGATGTCACTTACCTCATCATAATAAACTCTCAGTTCTGCTCTTTTAGACTTCAAGTCCCAGAATACTACAGTACCATTTTCATAACCTATTAGCAGCTAAAAAATATTAAAATAATTTTCTTAATTTTGATATTAGTATAACAAGGTTCAAATAAAAAATAGTAAAAATCATGCCATGTAACACAATTTCATTTATGGTCTTGGTTACTTTTCTCTTCTTGCTGACACAAACTATCTGACACCTAAAATTAAGGACAAAAGAGTTTGCTTGTGAATGTTTCAGTCCATAATCGGTTGGCTCCAAGTCAGGGTTGTGTGGCTGAAAGGCAACATGGCAACTGTGGCAGAACTCAGAAGCAACCAGAAAAAAAGCAGGAAAGCACGCCTTCTTCCCTCCTTCATACTGTATGCTGATTACCTGCCCCTGGGTGGGTGCAGCACTCACACCACCAATTCTAGTGCTACTCAACAATCACAAATGCCACCTTCAAAAGGCCTGCCCCTACACGACCACATGAAGTGTTAGGGGGGACATTCAAACACAAACTATGACATGCCACCCCTGGTCTCCCAAAGACTTATGCACATCCTTTATATAACACATTTAGCCCATCTCCAAGAGTTGCCAAAGTCCTAAAAATTTCAGCAGTGCTGAAAAGTCCAACTCCCAAGTCTCCTCTAAGATCTAAAGTAAACTCTTAGCTGTGAGACTCAGTACAAATGAAAAGTTAAAAACTTTCAACATTCAATGGCATAAGACAAACATTATTGTTCCAAAGGGTATAAACAGGCACACAAAGGAATAGGACCAAAAGAAGTTCAAAATTCAACTAGGCAATCATTAAGTTCTGGAGTTCCATGTCCAGCATCTGAAGCAATCTGGTTGTGAGCTCAAAAAGGCTTGAGTGACTCCACTTCACAGCACTTCTGGTGGTTGTAGCACCCACAGATTATCTCTTGAGCTGGCTTTTTTCCTTCCTTGCAGGTTTCCTTAGATGATCTTCATTCCTGACCTGTTCAAACTTCTTGGGTCTTCACTGCCCCTTTGGCTTCACATTCACATCTTCACATATTGCCCCTCTCAAGGGGACACTGCTTGGCCTTCCAGGCCTTTTGAAACTGGGGTGGAGGTCTTTTTAACTTCAGAACTCTTGCATTCTCTAAACATCTAAACCCAGAACCACATGGATGATATAAGGTCTGCTACCAGTTGGAGCAGTAGTCAGGCTTTCCTCTCTCTTGGCTGTAGAAGTCAAGTGGCTGGATTGACAAGCACTCTGCTCATGATTTTAAGGAACAAATTTTCTATGTCACTGCAATCCTGGAACCTGGTGGGGCTGCTGCCATTTTGGAAACTCATGTGACTGCCACTGCCATTCTGGAATATGGTGCTTTACAGCTTTTTCCTCAAAGCAAAGTCTCACTTTTGCAGTTTTGAGGATGTAAAGGGTGGAGACCAACTGCTTCCCAAGCCACAAATCATATATGTGTGATTTTTTTAAAAGTCTCTCAAAATATAAGTAACAGAAAGGCAAAGAGGGGTAACTTGTTAATTATGTTATCGGGATCTGAATTATGTCTGAAGAAAAGTAGTTACTTGGTAAATATTCAATAACAATCAAAATTGTACATACTAAATTCTAATCAGTGATAATTAGAAGTCACTACCAAAAATATTTTGGAAATTACAATATATCTTTATTTAACTAATAGGCAAAGAAACAGTCTTAATGAAATGTATGAAATAGTGCTAGGAAAAATGCTTCATATTGAAACTTGTGGGAGACAGATGAACTTAAATAAGAATTTTTAAGTGTTATGTATTTGACTCTTAAGAAGAAAAGCAAGCTTTAAAAATGAAACATGTAAACCAAGAATTTAACTATTCTCATATCTTTCAAGTTTGAAAGTTATTCTATTTTATATGAGTTCTTCTTTTCAATAAATCTGCTAAAAGATTATACTTCCTATAATTTAGTACACAACATACTAAATTTCTTACTATTTGTATTTATTTCAATGTGGATGTTCTTAGGTATTCTGGTGATACTGTCTAATCTAAAATATAGAGTATTTTATTTCATCCTTTCCAATTTTTATGCCTCTTGTATTTATCTAAATGTACTGATAAAACATCCTGCTGCTTAAAGTAGTGAAGAGGGTAAGCATGCTTGCTTTCTGACTCACTTCAGTGACAATGCCTCCAAAGTTTCCTCCTTAAATAAGATCTTGGATTCTAAAGATGAGAGGAAAAGAGGAGAAAGGGGAGTAGGCAGTGGAAGAAAAGGAAGAAATGAAGAAAGAGGAAAAAGAGATGGACTGATTCATTTGATTCATAGTTTATAATTTTTTTGTTGGGTGTTTAATTTCAAATACATATTTTATTATGAATTTTCTTAATTATGATGAAAGAATCATACCCATTAATTTACTTCCCAAGTCAAGAATTAAAATAATTAGAAAAAACAAATCACTCACATCCTTTCTGGGTCAATAGGCTCACTCTCTTCTCCAAAGGTAACTACTGTCCTCATTTCCACCACTACAGGCTACTGTAATGTGTTTTCTCATTTTTATAAAAGTAGAATTATACATTATATATTATTTTCTGTCTTACTTCTATTTATATTTTATTTGCTGAAATTCACTCAATTTTAGCAATGAAACCATATTCCATTATTTATTTCAACACCACAATTAATATATTCATTTTGTGATTAATATAATTATGTTTCTATGAATAAACATACATATTCTTTGGTGAACCATTACATGAATTTCTATTAGGCATATACTGGCTCACATTACATAACTACTGAACATTAACAGATGCTGCCAAGTTTTCCAAAGTGATTGTACCAGTTTTCATTTCCCTAACCTTCATATGAGAATTGCAACTTCTTCCCAGCTTCTCTAATTGTTAATAGTAGCAAGATCAGTACAGAGTTTAATAGAAGGGATAAATAGCAGGAATCTTGCTCATTTCTGATCACAAGAGAAGAACTTTATTAATTTACATTAAGAATTTTTCATTGCTTTGGTTAAACTTAACAAAGTTCAGATTCAAGAATTTCCTTTTTCTCCCTAGAAACCAAAAGATTGGTATCATGAAAAGAAGTCAAATCTTATTAAATGTTTTTGTTATTTTAAAAAACAAAACAGAAAAAAGGGATACAAATGCTACAGAATTTCAAAAAAGAAAAAAAGTAGGGAATTAACATTAGTTAATATATTAATATATAATAGTTAACATATATCTCAGAACTAGTTATTCAGGTTATAAAATATAGATGTGAAAGTGATCAATCAAACAATGACAGCACAAACTGTTCTTTTTGATGAACTAAGAGAGATTATTAGTAGTACAGTTATCTATCTAGTGTACATATATGCACATAAAATTTATATGCTTACTAACATACATATAATCTTTTCCTTTCTTTTTCCTTTCCCCTATCCTAGTAGTTATGTCCTTTCGAGTACTTTTTTTCCTTTTCATTATTCTAATATCTATTGTATATTTTGGTTCTTCTTTACACTTTCAGATTTTAACTTTATATTAATTTTATACTAGGGAGGCAATATGATATTTATAAAATGTGAGTTTATTTTACTTATGAGTATGATCTCAAGTTGCCTTCATTTATCCATAAAACCTCAAAATTATCCTTTTCATAGCTGAATAATATTCCACTATATAAAAATATCAAATCTTTTTTATCCATTCTGTGGTTGATAGACATTTTGGTTTTTTCCAAGATTTAGCTATTACAAATTATGCTGCTATAAACATATGTGCACATAAATCACTATCGCATAACATTTTCAATTTTTCTGGGAAAATACCCACAAGGGGAATAGCTGGATTAAATGGGACTTCCAATCCTAGTTTCTTGAGGAACCTTAACACTGATTTCCACAGTGACTGCACCAATCTACACTCCCATCAGCAGTGGAGAAGTATTTTTCCCCACAGCTCTGCCAACATTTGGTATTGGTTGATTTCTTGATGGTAGTCATTCTTTCTGGAGTGAGATGGAATCTCAGCGTAGTTTTAATTTGCATTTCTTGAATGACCAGAGATGTCGAGCCTCTCATGTATTTATTTGCCATTTGTGTATCTTTATCTGAAAAATGCATATTCATTTCACATGCCCATTTTTGGATTGTTTTTGATTTTGGGGGGCTTGATGTTTTTCAGTTCTCTATATGTTGTAGATGTAAGTTCTCTGTCTGAGGGACAGCTGGCTAAAACTTTTTCCCACTCTGTGGGTTTTCTTTTTACTCTGTTGGGTAATTTCACTTGAAGTACAGTAACTTTTTAATAAGATGAGATCTTATGTGGTTTACAATAGGATTTCTATAGAAAAACAGAGTCAGTAGGTTAGGATTTATCACGGAAACTGATTCACATAATTACAGAGGCCAAGAAGTTCCATGATACCCTATTTGTAAAGAAATTAATGAGATAGTTATTTTAGTCTGAGTCTGAAAGCCTGAGAACAAGACAATTTGGGGGCCACTGATCTCTAATTGTCTGAATACTTATCAACAATGGAGCTCTGATATTCAAAAGCAGAAAAAGATGGGTATCTCAGCTTTAGAGATGAGAACGAATTCATCTTTTCTCTATTTTTTTCCTGCATCAATAGGTTGAATGCTGTAGTGAATTAAAAACTCATAGTCAACTTAAACACCAGGTTAACTGAATCAGCGTGGTGCAAAGTATAGATAGTCCACTTGAGGATTGTCCCTAGCATAAAATGGAAACCTGGAGAGGAAAAGTTGTGTTGCTTGATTCGTAGGTTCTTCTGAAGAAGCTTGTTGAGCCTCTTTCCTGATATAAACTTGACTGTTCTCACTATAAGAGGAACATGGGGCCTTGTTGCTGAGAATGGCTGTGGTTCACTTTCAGGGAACTCTGGTCCTTATGGTGTGCATTGCTTCTTGGCTTCAGAGAAGATGGTGTGCTGCTCAGTCTCTAGGAGAAGCTTGTCACACTGCCTTCTTGATAAGAACTGGTTGTTCTCATCTTGGAGGAGCTTGAGATCTCATTATTGCTGAGGATGGCCGTGGTACTTCTCAGGTGAGCTCTG